CAAAAGACATGTCAAGATAGACCCGGGGCACTCGGGAGGCAGCGGCAGGCAGATCTCTGTGAGTTCGAGGCCAGCCTGGTCTACAGAGTGAGTGCCAGGACAACCTCCAAAGCAATATATAGACACCCTGTCTCAAGAAAAAAACAAACAAACAACAAAAAAAGATAGAACCAGGGTGCTTGTGGTGGGCCACTACATAAAAAACTACAACTAAGGAATGCTGTGAGTGAGAGAATCTCCCCAGGGAAGAGCACAGTACTTGCTATCCAATATTAAATGGTTAGTCTTGAAAACATATATATATATATATATATATATATATATATATATATGCATGCATGCAATAACAATGTATAGGGGGCATGAATCTGAAAGAGACGAAGTAGGGGTATATGAGAGGGCTTGGAGGGGGAAAAGGAAAAAATATAATTTGATTATAACCTCAAAAAATGTTTTAAAGATTTGCACTCATAGAAACAGAAGGCAGTTTAGAGATTGCTGAGGGTTGGGAGAGATGAGAGATAGAAGCAGGAAATTTTTAATCAAAGGGCACATAATTTCAGCTAGGTGGGATGAATGAATTCTGGAAAACTAGTGTACATCATGGCGACTAGAGCCAATAATGCTGCCTTTTGCACTGGATATATGATAAGAGAGTAGATCTTAAATGGCCTCACTACCCACACAGATAATAGCTGTATGGAGGTGGTAGATTTGCTACATAAATTGATTTGATTTCATTTCATTTCATAGTCATTTCATAATTGCTATGGCTTGTAGATGGATTGAGTGTGTTTCCCTCAAGGCTTCATGTGTTGAGATTTAATCCCCATTTTGAGATATTAAGACAGTAGACATTTAACCTGACTCTGCTGTTTAGAAGTGGGGATTTGAGGATCAAATTAGGATTTAGATATTGGTGGGGGAGGTCCTTCTTTGTATATGTTTGTCTTATTGGTTGATAAATAAGGCACTCTTGGCCGATAGGAAAGCAAGATAGGTGGGGCTAGGAGTCAAGGAAGATTCTGGGAAATGTAGTAAAGACAGCAGTTGCCATGTGATCCTGTGAAGAGAGTACGCTTGCTGCTGGCATCCTCGATAAGTCTTTATAAAATATATAGATTAATGGTTATAGTTGATACTTAGGACAGAGCTGGCAAATGAGAAATCCTAGTCATTGGCCAGCAGTATTGTAACTAACGTAAGACTCTTGTGTGTTGTTTGAGGGCCCTAGGGTGGTAGTGGGGCTCGGGCAGCTGGCAGAAAGAGTTATCGTTACAAGATACAGTTGCCAAAATGGAACCTTCATAATTGAATCCCGTTGATATATAAAAGAAGGTGAGGGACCGGAAGGGACACGGTTGATTGATATGCATGGTTGATTGATATCCTGTAGTGTGATGCTGTGCACTGCTTTGGTATGTTATTGCCAAGAGGACAACTGCTAGATATGGCCCCTCAGGCTTGGGCCTCAGGAAGTCTGAGCCAAAATATACATCATTTAGGCAAATTTACTACTCAGTAGTATTGTGTTGTTAGCAATAGACAGAGAATACACTAATGCATTCAAGTTTATATGTTATACTCTGTAAGTTAAGTTATTCTCAGATTAACCTGGAAAAATAAAAGATTCTCATACACAAAAAGAATAAATTAACTAAATTCTTATATTATCAAAAGTTATTAGTGTTGGCTCTTTCCTGCTGTTCCCCTGGGGCAGACAGGACTTTTCCTGTCTTCCTCTTCTCTTCTGCCCTCTGTCTCTGTGTCTCTTTACCTTATTTTCTTACCTCCCCCTCAATAAAACTTTAAATTAAAAAAGTTATTAGCTTTGATGGCTTGCTACCATTAATACCAGTGAGTAATATGACATGTTATAACAAAATTGAATGTGTGTGTGTGTGTGATTTGAGGCATTTAAGAAAAATACTAAAAGTCTGCTTTTTCATTTAAATAAATTTTTGAAAACACCACTGTTGAGATCATTTAGGATGATAAACCACTTCCATTAGAAACATAAAATCAAGAAGTGGTATAGCTCAGTGGTAGAAGGCACAGTTAACAAACGTGAGCTCCTGGGTTCAGTCCCCATCACTAACAGGTTAAAAAATAAAAATAGATGGTGGTTTATGCCTTTAATCCCAGCACTTGGGAGGCAGAGGCAGGTGGATCTTTGCGAGTGAGTTCCAGGACAGCCAGGGATGTTACATGGAGAAACCATGTCTCAAAAAAATCAAAATAAAGTAAAATAATAAAATAAAAAGAGGCAATTTAGGGGATTTGCTGGTTTTTTTTTCACCTGTATGTTTACAAATTCAAAAATATAAATTATCTCCTATGCTACAGCTCTGAGGGGAAACGCTTCCCCAACAGAAGTGCTCCACTTTGCTCGTGTTCCCCCAATGCAAGTGTTATACAGTTCGGATGGAAAGGTATTGGCAATCAGGACCCAAGGAATGTCACAAAGTCACAGAAAAAAGCAGGGGGGGGGGGGCGAGAAGCAGCAGGGAGCTGAGGTGAAGGCAGGGTTTATCTGGGGCTTCCTCGGGGCAGAAGCGGTCTGGGATTGGTGGGGCTCTGTTTCTTGGCCCTCCCTGGTTTTGAGGTCAAGTCAGGGTCAATCCTTGACCCTTTACCATACATCTAGGGTTTCTTGTTTTGTTTTGTTAAGATTTATTTATTTACTGTCTGCATGTGTGCCTGCAGGCCAGAAGAGGGCACCAGATCTCATGACAGATGGCTGTGAGCCACCATGTGGTTGCTGGGAATTGAACTCAGGACCTCTGGAAGAGCAGTCAAGTGCTCTTAACCCCTGAGCCATCTCTCCAGCCCCGGGACAGCAGTTTTAAAAAGAAATTTTGGGTTTTCGTCTTTTAAAAAGCAAATGAAACCGTCTTAAGTTCTGCTTTGCAGGAAGTTCTGGGACGTTTTGAATTCAGGTTTCTCCTTGTGTGAATGTCCATTTTACTGCTGATTTCCAGTACATTCGCCATCCTAAAGGGCTGGATGGTGTTTAAAGAATACCGCTAGTGACGAGAAAGCCGTGAACTCGCTCTGACGCTGCCTTCGGACTCCGGCACCCATACTGGCACTCTTGACGCCTCCATCTCCGGAAGGGCTGATTGCAGCATCTCAGCGCTTCCTGTCCCGCACGATCTCGCGAGACTTGCGGCTGACCACATGGTCCGTGGAGCGTCTCGCAAGTCCAGCACCAAAGGGCTTAGACGCATCCGCAGAGCTGCAAGTTGGGGACCCCAGGAAGAGCGAGAGCGGACGTTCGGGGTCCGTAGGGACCCGTTAGGTGGTCTGGTGAGGGGAGGAGCCGCGGTGGGTCGGCTGGTGAGGGCCGGGCCGGGCCGGGGGCGGCCGGGCGGTCGGGCTTCCACAGGCTTCCACAGACCGCCACAGGGCCTGGTGCTGAGGGGCAGAGGCCCGCACTGACCGGAGACTGGGGGGTGTGGTCATCCGGGAGCGAATTCCCGCCACTAATGCAGGAGCCCGGGATGCGAAGCCAGCCTGGGGCGGGTCTAGGAGCGAGAGCTGTGGGAAACCTGAAGAAAAAAAAAAGTCATGATGTTGAGTTCACACACGTCAGATGGTACCAAGTTTTAGAGTACATGTCAGGTTTTCTGAATGTCTGTGTGTTCTAGTCATCCAAAGACTTCTTGCAAGTATAAACCCAGTTTAAACAGTCATGAAAGAACATTTCCAGAACTTTCCGCCTTGCAGCGCCTTCTAAAGGCCCACTCAGTTGCTTATCCGGGCTTGGGAAGCGCTGACTGGGAATTCAGCCCTTGACCACAAGAGGCGAATTCCTTCCCATGTCCTCTTTTTTTTTTTTTTTTTTTCAAATTTATTTTAAAATCTTTTGGTTGATTATTCTATTTTTTAAAACTTCCTTATTGAATCTTTGGGGGTTCCACATCATGCACCCCAATTGTGTTCACCTCCCAGTTCTGCCATATCCTCCCCCCACATTCCTACTGTGCCCCCATCCCCAAAGGAAATAAAACAAGCAAGGAAAACCACACCAGAAACAGAAAAATCTCTGCTTCTCCTTCTCTCCCGCCTCTTCACTTCTTCATCCATCCTGATGGCATTGGAGGCTTTGGTGTGTCTTACAGTATACCCCTTTGTCTCCTCAGCTTGATTGGGGAATGTTCATTGTAACATTGGTTCAAGGCCTCTGGTTTTTGGTACACCATCATCACTGGGTCCTCTGGGGTATCCTGTGGCCACCCCGAGTCTTGGAAATCTTACGGTTCTCGTTCCACAGGACCAGTCAGTCCTTTCACCAGCTCCAGCAGGTCCTAGATGAGTTAGATGCTAGGGTAGGTCAATCCTAGGCCCAGTTGTGGGCCTGGGTGTTAGGCAAGTCAGAGGGAGCCCTGGGGCCACCTGCTTAGGATGCAGGGGTGGAGTCAGCTCCCCTATGTATGCCCTCAGTATAGTTTCATTCTCACTTGTGGTGAGGGGTAGGAACCCTCTCTCCCGATTGCAGGGGCCAGCTCTCTTGCTTTAGTGGCCAGAGAGAGGCAAGGCCATCTTTCCCAGGGCAGTGAAGGGCTGGCCTGCTCAGCATGACCCTCTGATTTCTTCTCCTATGGTTCCTAAGGCCTCCTGAGGTGCTACTGGCCTTAGACATCAACCTGGACCCCACCTAGGCTGGACCACAGATCCAGCCATGGTCCTTGGCAGCAGCCTGGGCTGGGATGACATCCTGGCTCTGGGAGGAAGGAATGGCCACTCAGGTGGGAATGGTCCTCCCCATGTCTTAATCCACCTGTGTTTTTTTGTTTTTTGTTTTTGTTGTTGTTGCGTTGTTTTGTTTTTGAAGAATGCTATATTTGCCAGGTGGTGATGGCACATGCCTTTAGTCCCAGCACATGGGAGGCAGAAGCAGGCATATCTCAGTGAGTTCAAGGCCAACCTGGTCTACAGAATGCTGTTTTATGTATGGTTTCTGAAAGTTTTATTATTTATTTTACTCAGGATCCAAGATGAATGACAACCTGTTTGTCAGTTTGGACAGGCTTTTGTTAGAATTTGGTAGGTATAAAATGAAAACAAAGAAACAAATGGCAATTTGTATTAGCATTTGACATTTAACCATGAAGTAAAAATCACAAAAGAAATGTTTATTTTAGTTTTCCAGTATGAACAAGACAAAAGTACTAAAGAAGATATGATTCAAAGAATTAATAGTAAGTACTTTTGAACAAAATAAATACTTTAGATTTTTATTTTATGTAGCATAATGCATAATTGTAGTGCTAAGGGCAACCTATAGTTGTTTCTGTGTGAGAGAAATCTTTCTTTTGAGTAATAATGAGCTTTTTATCTTCAATAGTTATAACTTACTTAGTGTTACAATGATAAATGTTTGCATTCAAATCATTTTGTGAGATACTTCTCAGAAATAATCCCTTATATACAGCATTTTCCCCCTTCAAATAATAAGATCATTTCAAATATTTGATTTTTTTTTCTCTAGAAATAACCAAAAACCAGAGGTTGGTAAGTTGCCTGCTTTCAGGAAGAATGATTCTGAAAAATAAGTAAAATATCAGGGTAAATTAAGTAAATGCAATGTTTTGAATTCTTAAAATGGTTTAGTTCTAATTTTAGTTGTGAAAACATAACTGTTCGGGAGGGAGGGGAAACTGGGATTGGTATGTAATAAAAAATAAAATAATAAGTAAAAAAAGAAAAAATAAAATATAACTGTTAACTTCTTAGTATTCTATAATGAATTTCATTATCTTTTCTGCAATCAAAAAGAAAATAGAAAATCAGTTATTTTGGGGCTGGAGAGAGTAGTGAAAAGCACTTGTTTCTCTTGTAAAACACCCAGGTTCAGTTCCCAGCACCCACATGTGAGTCACAACTGCCTGTAATTTCAGTTTCAGGGAATCTTGATGACCTCTTCCAGTCTTCAGTGGACACTAAGCACACACATAGTACATGTGTATACAGTCAGGCAAAATACTCATACACATAAATTTTTAAAAAGTATCCCAATTTTTAAAAGAAATTGTATCTTTTTAGCATTTAGTTAATCACGAGTAATAAGTGTGTTGGTGTATTTAATAATTGATGTGCAATGGATGAAATTTCACATTTGTCAAAAACAAAAGTCTTTGGTAGTATCATTAATGAATAAATATTTACATGAATTTATAGTATCACAAGATAGATTAGTTTTAAATGCTATCTAATCTAGCCCTCTATTGTAAAAACTGGGAAACATGGACATTTGTTTTTCTTTAGTCTTTGTCCTTCTTAGCTTCTGGATCTAGGAATAGACCTGGCTTTGATTCTCTTGATTTTTAGTATAGATCCCTGTCTCTCTTATAGCTTGTTTCCTTTGCATTTTCTGATTTTCCTCCTTTTAGGTCAGTTGCCATATATTTTGTTTACCTGGTATGCTTGTTTATTTTGAATTTATGATTTCTAGGTAAATAAAACAAATATTTCCTTTTTCAGAATGCCTTGAAAGTATTAAAGAAAACAAAGCAAATGTTTCTAAGATATGTGAAGCTATAAACAAAACAGATGAGGAAATTGCTTATTACTATAAACATAATAAAGAAATCAAAGACTGCTGTAGTAAGTAAGTATTTGACAAAAATGATCTTGCATTTATTATCATTTGATTTTTTTACTCAAGGTTTTAGAGTTTTTAGCAGAAAATGTTGAGTTGGGAATGTACGCAATGGTAGAGCACTTGCCTAACATGTGAAACGCCCTTGTTTTGATTATCACAGACAAACATACATTCTATTTTAAAGTAACAAAGTTCTCTTTGTCCCCCTTCTCTTTCTTTCCTCCCTTGTCTTCCTCTTCCTCCTACTCGTCCCCCCACCCACCAATTGAACCCAAGGCCTTTTGCATTCTTCCCTCCAACTGAACCAAAACCCAACTCCCAAGTTAGTATCCGTATTAGCAAATTAGTCAAGTCACATTGCCTAGTTATATGCAAATGTTGAGGGATTTACAGAAGATTCCACAGAAAAGCAGAAATAAAGGTTATAATCTCACTAATTCAGATCTACTTAGTCTAAACAGAATTTTGTAAACTGAGAGTTTTGGCACATGCTTGTATCCTAGCACTTGGGAGATAAAGGCAGAAAAATCAGAACTTCAAGGTTGTCTTCAGCTATATAGAGTTCCAGGCCAGGTTGAGATTTATAAGATCCTGTGTACAAATAAACAAATGATTTTGAGTATAAGCTTGGTATGTAAGATTGCTATTGATCTTTGCCTTTCCACGGTCTTAGATTTTTGTAAGAATTTAACCTAGGGACTGAAGAGATGACCCAGCAGTTAAGAGCACTCAATGCTTTTGCAGAGTCTGGGGGGTCAGTCCCCAAACCCACATGGTAGCTCACAACTGGCTGTAACTCCAGTTACAGGGTCCCAGTGCCCTCTCTGGCCTCCATGGGCACTGAATGCATTTGGTGCACAGACCAGTATGAAGGCAAAACACCCATACACATTAAAAAAAGGAAAACAACCTAAAAATTTCCAGATAAAGATTTCTTTTAAGAAATATATCTTTGCGCTTATTCACTCATATGTTACTTGGTTGCAATTGAATTGAGTTTCTTGTATGTATATGTAATCTTTGAACTTCTAAATCTATTCTTGAGAATATTTTCTAAGAACTAATCAGAAATCTAGGAAAAGGTTTAAAATTTCTGCTCAACAAATGATAAAAGGGGATAGTTGTTATGTGTAATTATGATCTCAACATTGTTAAAATATGATAGTAGTAAAATCTGGAGATAACTTATTAAAGTAATAATACTAGTTACCTAATATTAAGAATGTTGATTGTGGTGGCACATGCCTTTAATCCCAGCACTCAGGAGGCAGAGGCAGGCAGATCCTCTGAGTTGAGGCCAGTCTTGCAGAGCAATTTCCAGGACAACCACGGCTGTTACACAGATAAACTAGTCTTGGAAAAAAATTTAAAAGAAAAAAGGAAAAATGTGGATAATTATATTTCTATGCATACTTTTTTGTACTTACAGAATAGTCATGCTTAATTTTGAATTTGAAAAATATTAGAAAACAGAAAATATTCACATACCATTTAGAACAGAGGTACCATTGTATACAGTAATTTTAGATTTTTTTTTCATTTTGGAAATACTTTTCAAGTTGTGCAATAAAATGGAAAGTATAAGTTAGATACTCATTTTATTCATATTGTCTGATTTTATAATTCATTTTGGCCTAGTTTCTTTAATCTCAAAAGGGCATAGAAATCTAAGAGTCAAAGGAGAAAAAAAGCTTCTCTTTAGACCTCTTCCTAGCTCTTTAAATATTTATTACTGAGTCAAGTGGTGGTCGTGCACACCTTTAAACCCAGCACTTGAGGGAGGCAGAGGCAGGCAGATCTCTGTGAGTTCCAGGCCAGCATGGTTTTCAAAGGTAATTCCAGGACAGTCAGAGATACATAGAGAAATCCTGTGTTGAAATAACAAAAACAACAAACAAAAAACAAACAAAAAAGCTCCAAAACACCACAGCCAGAAAACTTGTTACTGAAGAATTTCTTTGCTAAAATCACAAAACTGATGAGGAAGGATAACTAAAGTTAATACAAAAACATGAATAGAGTATGCAATAGAAATGTCCCAGCAATACACAGTCTAACCTATACTTCTCTAGTAATGAGAACAAGTTTTAAGTAAAATTTAATGAATATTAATATTTGGGTATATGAGTACATTAATGCTGACATTGGTGATTATAGGATATTACCCTATTTTTTAATGGGAACTTATTTTTGCTAGGAAGAGAAAGATTCATTGTTCTTTAAATAACTACATTCATTTTTATTTATTTACTTTTATTTTATGTGCATTGGTGTTTTGCCATGGATGTTGTATCCCTTGGAATCCTGAATAGGAACAGGTATTGTAGACAGTTATGAGCTGCCAAGTGGGTGCTAGGAATTGAACCCAGGTCCTAAGGAAGAGCAGTCAGTGCTTTTAACAACTGAGCCATCTCTCCAGTGGTTACTTTCTTTTTTGTTCTATACCCATCCCACTGTATTCATTTATCACTTTTAGATGGTAATCATAACTATAATTTTTTCTGTAGCTGGAAGTCAACATGTGATGTTTTTCATAAACATGAAGATTATATGCAAGACCAGCTTACTGTTTACCAAGAAAACAGTGAAAAAGACAAGTACAGTATATATGTATAAATAGTATATTAAGTGTATCAGTTCCATAAATTAGTATTATCAGGGCATGCTGTGTAAGAATGATAATTGAATGTAACAAGTTTATATTCTGAGAGAGTTTTAAGTAAATGAATGCTGGATGCTGTGTACCATCGTAAGTCTATTAATTATAAATCTCCATTTAATTTTGTGTGTGTTCAGATATTGCCTCAGATATAAACTATTTCTCAGCAGCAACTATTATAGCAGAATCATTCAGTGATCCTTTTAGGAAACCATGTAAATGAATACTTACATGTAGAGCTAGCTCATGAAAATGTGAGTATTTTGACTTTTTTTGCAAAGCTGTAAATTATAGTAACATAAGTGGGTGAAAGCAATACTTCCATTTTAAATGCATTTAAATACTTTCATTTTAAAACAATCACGTAAAAATTTTGAAAAAATTTAGATTAGCATACAAATAATGGTATTCATCATGGCATGTTTACACATACCTTGCTTTCATTTGCTTCCTTTCCTCATTACTCTCCCCTACACTCCTTCCCTGCCTCCATCTGGTGTCTATTGGTCCACTAGTTAGCTCCCCTCTTGCTTTCTTAAGATCTCTTCCTTTTCTCTCACCTCTTCCTCCCCTTTTTTGTTTTGTTAGACACACACACACACACACACACACACACACACACACACACGCACACACACGCGTATAAAAACACATATAAATCTATGTTCTACATATAAGAAAACCTGTAATTCTGTATTTTCTTAGATGAGCTCTCAAAGAAGTAGAGATGAAAGTTATAGATTTGGAGTTACTGTCATTAGAAATCATGAAAATTTGTAAGATGCCTCAAGAAAATATATGGAGCAAAACCAAGAGCATGATGGTTTGAGTGAGAATAGCCCCACAGGCTCATATGTTTGGAATATTTGGTGAACTATTTGGGAAGATTTGGGAGCTGTGGCCTTGTTGGAGGAGGTGTGTCATTAGGAGTGGGCTTTGAGGTTTTAAAAGCCCTGGCCATTCCTAGTTAGCTGGTGCTCTCTCTGCCTTGTGCTTGTGCATTCCTAGTTAGCTGGCTCATTCTCTGTCTTGTGCTTGCGGATGAGATGTGTGAGCTCTCTGCTACAGCTCCAGGGCTTTGCTTGACTGGCTGTTCCCATGATGGTCATGGACTCTAACCCCCTGGAACCCTCATCTCCCTATAAACTCTCCTATAAGTTACCTTGGTTATGTGGTCTTTTTACAGCAATAGAAAAGTAATTAAGACAAGGAGGAAACTAGAGTATACCATCTGAAGGCAAACAAAGGAAAAGGAAACTGTTAGGCTGTTCTTTATATATGCTGCTTCATTCCTCAAAACATTTGTAGTGGTCTATATAACAATACATGGCTTTTCAAATCAAGGCTTCCAGGGAATAAGGATAATGTAGAAAACCATTGATGAGTTAGAAATCCACACAGGTGGTCCTGCCTATTTTATTGGATATAGGTGCAGATTAGACTTGGAATTCCTAATAGTCAAGGCATTGTAGAAATGTCATTAGATTGGGCTCATATTATTCATTTAAAAAGCAGTTCTGTTGCCTAAGATGAGTTGATTTTCTTGAAGCGTCAAGGAAATTTCTTTCTGGGTCTTCAAAAAGAGGAACTGGATAATTGTGTGTGTATGTGCACATGCATGTGTGCTTATATCATTTAAATGTAATTCATGATCATTTAAGATTTTTGTCATTTAAGATTTTTAAAAAGGATTTTTTATTTGTTTATTTTTGTCTGCATGTATGTCTGTGCAGTATACTGTAAGTATACCTGGTGTCTCTGGAGGCCAGAAGAGGGCATTGGAGTTGGAATTACAGAGTTGTGAAGTGTGCCATGTGGGTCCTGAGAATTGAACCTGGATCCTTTGGAACAACAGCTCTTAACTGCTGAGACATCTATCTCTCTAGCCCCCATTTATATATGTGTGATTGTGTGTGTGTGTGTGTGTGTGTGTGTGTGTGTGTGTGTGTATAATTTTTAAAAGAAATGTTTTAGTGAAAAGCTAAAGAAATCAATCCAAAATGAATTTTTAAAATAGTGTTTATTCTAGATATCTTTCAAGCAAAACAGAAGTACTAAAGTAGAAACAGTTGTTTGTCTTCTAAACCAGCCATAGAGGTAATTTGAATTGGTGACTCACTATCAGACATTTTAAAAAAGAAATGAACTAATGCACCAACCATTTTGACTTCCTTCTCCACCTACTTTCCAGACATGGTTTCACTGTGTATCCTCAACTAGCTTTCAACTTGCTATATATAGCCCACCCTTACTTCAAACTTTAAATCCTCTAGGCTCACTCTACCAGTTGCTTATTTCTAATCTCCTATTCCTGTTTAAGGCATTCCTGAAAACTAATATTTCTACTAATAGGTAGGATAATAGTGATTCTTCTTAGATCAGAACTTAAGATGTGGTCTGCTGGAATTACTATATAAAGTATGTTAGGCCATATATGTATATTATATGTATATGTAAATGTATATAGTGAACAAAATGGATGTATGCTAGTCTCATATGGTATGTTAGCTTGCTTAAAGGTATTTTTCTATTCCCTTATACTATTTTCCCAAGTGGCTCCAAGTGATAAGTGATTAATTAGCAAATACAGAGTTTGTAAAAGCTTATTTAGAGGTTCAACTTCCATATCTTGTTAAAGAGGACAGAGTTTAGTAATAGTGTCTTGTAGACATGATAGGACTGCCACAGTTATGAACAGCAGCTGTGGTTGCCTGCACACTATCAAGACAGTCAACATTCTAGCATGGAGTTGAAAGGAGGTTCATGAGCCTCACCTACAACTGAGGAGTTATGGATAATTGATGGCTTCTATGGTATAAAGTCAGTTTTCTTTAAGCAGGTAGCTTCTGGTAGGTTGACATCCAGTGGATGGCCCCACACCCAGAAATATATGGACAGTACAAATTGGAGTTGACTACTAATAATTAACAAAAAGAAGACACAATATTGGGGGTGGTAGGAAGGTGGGGATGGATCTGTGAGGAATTCAGAGTAAATATAATCAAAATGCATTGCATGAAATTCTCAAAGAATGTCATTAAAATGATGGGAATGGATGATAAATTGAAGTGGACTAAGGCATGCAATAAATAACTCAGGTAATAAAACAGAGTTATGGTGGAGGCGTTAAAGAGAGTTTGAAAGACTGAGACTATTCAGGGAAGTAAAGATGAGTAAATAATTGCCGTTTATGATTAATGGAATAGATTCTAATAAGTGATATTTGCTAGGTTTATAGATTTCTACATAATTTCTTTTCATTTTAACAGAAAAATGTATCATGGTTATATATGTCAGTATAAAGATGTTTTGAAACAATACCAACTAAAATACGCAGAAACACATTCTTCATGTAAATATTATGAGAAGAAAAAAGAACACGAAGAAATTCAAAACAGAGTGTTGGCATGTACTGAACAACTAAAACAGAATGAAACTATACTTATGGAACTTCTAGGTATTAACATATTTATTATATACTGCTTTAGTTACAGCATTTTTACAATTAAAAGAATATAATCATTCTCAACTACAAATTTGTTTTCCAGTGCCTGCTCCATTCCCATCACTTACTAAATGGACATTACACATGTATCCACAACAGATTTCACTTATAATTTTATTAGATAAGTATAATTTCTGTTTTTAATTGTTAATATGTTTTCCTGTTGATAATCTCATAGATTTGTTTTCAGTTTAACTCGGATTTTAAAGATCTTAGATTTTAAAAGTCTTTAACTCAGATTTTAAAAGTCTTCTGGGTTTAGTTTCTAATATGTCCATGTGAGTAAAAGCAAATAGCTTAAGAGAAAATAAAATGGTATATGCTTCTGGCTTTAAAGTGTCAACCAAACAAAGAATTTTTTTCTCTGTCTTTTAAAAAGTTCCAGATGAATTGATTATTAATTACTCTTTAAGACAGAAGGTAGTAAGAAAGTGATTCATAATTACTCATTTTGAAATGTATTGAACTCCCTTGGAAAGAACTTGGAGTTTAGCATGGGAAGTTGACACATAAATAAATCTGATAAATACTACTATCTGTCAAAACCATCATTTTAATGCCTCTACTACTTGCTTTCTCTGTGGTTTGGTTTTAGACTTTTTTAAGTTTTTTTTTTATTTGCTGCACATTAAATTCTCAATAAGAAGGGTCATAGATTGGTAGGTAACCTAAGATTCAACTGGAGTTTAAGGGGTTGGATATGATTTGGGATGACATACAAAGTTTAAATGACAAAACGAGGTAGACGGAGGTAGAAAGAATTGAAGATTAGGATTTAAGCATTTATATGTAAAATTTTAAATAGACACCTTTGGTAATAACATTTGATAGAACATTCACTTGAAATTTTGATAGTAGCATACAAATCACACCTGTTATAAGGCAAGATAGGAAAGGACTAAAAAAGGTTTCCTAAGAGTTTTATTCATGGTTTATTATTCTAATCAGCTTTCATTCTCCTAAATTTTAACTTAAAGAAATTATATTATTTAATAATCTTACAGGATGTCAATAAATAGCTGAGAAATACTCTATAAATATAAATTATTTCATACAGGAAGCCCAGATGGAAGCTTTTTGTCAGTTTTACAGGATACATTGATGAACATTATGGTTAAAGGAAAAGGAAACAGTGGATTTTTAATGTTGACTATGAAATAAATAAATGATAGAAATTTAAGTTAAATTTGTTCTTGAATTGACTATGTTTTATTAGTTATACCAAATAACACAATGAACTCACATAGAAAAAGATCAGAGTTCTACCTTGCAAAAATATTTTATTAAGAAAAAAATACCAACAAGTATTCTCCATAGAATAAGTTCATTAATATACTATCAGTAAACTATTTATATTAGCATTACCTGTCTTTTCAGATAACAATTATCAATATTACTTTTGTAGAAAATAAATAATAGTATATTATTTGTTATATAGTAAATAATATATGGTTATATATAAATGTAAAATTTATTTCATGCCTGTTCCTTAACATGAAAAGAGTTAATTTGAGATATAAAACACAAGACATTCTTAAATGTGCCAACGATTTTACCAAGAGATCATTTGAATTGGAGAAAGAAGCAGGTGATATGGAAATAGAAATTAATTCTTTAAACAAGGTATTCATGTATATTATGTTTTAATATCTTGTTAATGTGTAAATAAGATGATAATGTTAGCCTACAGTCTTAGAAAAGCTGTTTTTAAAGACAAATATGGTGAAAGACCGATTTATTTGCCTTAGTGAAGCCAATATGTATTTCAGGTTCTGAACTCTTGCTTTGGATGGATAGTTTGGATTCCTTTTCGGTATGAGGAAAGATGAAGAAAGAACAGGATGTAACTTAGTCATAAGAGTTGATTTATTTTGTTCTGTGAAGGGTCAAACCTAGGCACCTATGCTTGTTAGACAACTGCATTACTGGTTACACCCTCAGCCAGAATTTAAAGAATAACAGTGTCTGTGAAAGAGGGAACAAAATAGTAAATAGTTTCAGGATCTGGAAAAACGTATAGTTTATAATATTTAGATAACTAAGATTAAAAATAGGTTAGCTTTTAGGATTTTCTGAGATATATTTTAGTATCATCCCTTGAATTGTTGGGTTTCTTAAATTAGATTTATTTATTTTATTTGTATGAGTGGTTTTTTTCCTACATGTGTGTGTACTACATGCGTGCTTGGTGCCTGTGGAGGTGAAAGGAGGCATCAGATTTCCTAGAACTATAGTTATGGGTGGTTGTGAGCCATCATATAAGTGTTGGGAACTGATCCTGGGTCCCCTGCAAGAGTAGCAGGTGCCATTAGCCATCTCACTAGCCGTGACACAGCAGTTTTCACTACATGCTACCAAAAATATAAATTGGAGTTTCTAGGGAAAAAATCATATGTGTTAGTTAAGAAAAGTGTACATATATCTGACTGCTCTGAAGGATTGATCCCTCCCGTGTGTGTGTGTGTGTGTGTGTGTGTGTGTGTGTGTGTGTATAACAACATTGGGTTATCTTCCTCAATTCCTCTTCACCTGAAACCGAAGTTCATCCATTTGGCTTGGCTGACTGGACAGTGAGCTTGAGAGATCTGTCTGTCTCCACCTCCTTAGTACTGGGATTACAGGCTCACACCCTTATACCTAGTGGGTACTGGGGATCAGAACTGAGGTTCTTAATCTTTAAGGCAAGCACTTTGCCCACCAAGTTGTCTCTCTTTCAATTCCAGGCAGTGTTACTACCATAGTCTTCCAAGTGCTAAGGATTGTGTGAGCCATCATGAAGCTAATTATTTTGATTTTCTTTTTAGCAAATAACAAGACTTTTTGAAAGTAAGAAATTTTCAGAAGCTCTAGAAGAAAAGAATAAAAATACAGAGAAGAGAAAAGAATTTAAAGAAAGGTATAGTTAATTTTTGAACTGAATTTAATGTGCAGATATTCTGCAGCTAAAATTTTGAGTCTGTATCTGATATAATTTTATGCAAGCTACTTTTCTATTAATTTTATGAAAATATTATTTCTCTAAATGTTATGGACTAATATCCAAAACTGCTTGTTGTTTAGGAAGACCAAAGACATCATACAGCAAGACATAGGGTAAGACCAACTCATCTGTTCTTTTTGTTGTTGTTGTTTCCCTATGTAACAGCCCAGGCTTTCCTGGAACTCACTTTGTAGATGAGGCTGCCCTCGAACACACAGAGATCTATCTGCTTGCCTTTGTCTCCCAGGTTCCTCTGTTCTGTAACCTGTCAGTATACAAAAAATTTAGTCAGTTTCTGTGGTAGGACTGCAAGAGTTAAACAATAAAGAAACAATAATTTTACCACTTTTTTTTTCCACTTGATTAGTCACCTGCTTGACTAGATTCTCCTTTACTTCGGAGAGTAAAGATGAGAGTCCAAATTCTGAATCTGCAGCATTGTATATTTTGTTGATACTTGTGGAGATAATGCAAGACATCAGTGAGGCATGAAAAACACAATGCTTTTACCTGTTACTATAGGAGAAGAAAATAAGTGTATTACTGTTGCTGTTTCTAATCAACTTTCTTCTGTTTGGTTTCTGCATATAACCTATTTTTGTTTGTCCTTAAATTTCACTTCTTAGACTCTATTACCTTTATCCTAATTTATTCCCAACATACTCCCCTCCTGAATTAATTTCCCTGATCCTGCTTCTTTGGAACTGTTATATTGATGCCTCCACTCCCACATATTGCCTCATGACAGTTTGCCATTAATTTCATGATGAAATTTCCTTAAGTTTTCAACCTAAGGAAAGAAAACACCAATATACTTTGATTGTTAAGATTTGTGATGTTGAATTTATTTGTAAAACTCTGAAGAAGGAAGAAATAATAGTACTTTTACTCTCATACCTTAATGCAGAAATTATAGCTACAGTGTGAAATAAATGCTTAGTTAAGATGGAAAAGATACTAAGTATGTGTATGTTTCTATGTATAGGAAAAGGTATAATATATATAATCTTTGGTACTAGCTGTGGCTTAGGCAGCCACTGAGGATTGAGGGCCATAGAATATAAATCTTCTCTTCACAAAGAGAATATGTATTTTTGATAGTGTTTATACTCATTTGATTTAGAAAAAACTGGGACGTTATTCTTATACTAAAAAGGTTAAAAGACACATTTATTACTATAATATTGCTTTAATAATTTCTGTATAATGATAGTTGATTTGTTTCTAAATAAATCTTTTAAAAATTTAAAGTACTCTGAAATCTAAAACACGTTATTTATAATGAAAATATAAAATGGAAAAAAAGTATAAAATGGTTTTAGTTTTTTTAAAAAAATAGTTATGTTTAAAAGGAAGAGTGAGGTACACAGATTAGAGCGTTGGACTTAATTAGAATGGTATTGGCACTACTTACTACCAAGTAATTTAATTCTGTGATAAAATCTGTTAAATGCTCTGCAAGCCCAGTATCATGATCTACAAAAATGAAAAGTTTTAACTATATAGTATCTACATATCCATTCTGGGTTTAAATTTTAATTTTTCCTTAGCTAATAGTGAATGTAAACTCTTGTCTTCAGAATTTTTGAAAAAGATGAGCATGTACTGAATAGATCCTCTCAAAGTAGCCAGTTGTTACCACCTTATGAGTCTCAGAAATTTGGAAGACTAATAAAGATGCATTCTTCAGAACCAAGAGTTACAGGTACAGCATTTGTTTATCATTCAGAAACCTTATTTTTCTTGACAGAGAGGAAATGAAAAGTAATTTTAGTTATCACTTGGTGTAAAAAATGACAAACAATATTAAAGACCTGTACGCATGAGAAAGTATCATTGTAACTCTTTCATTTTTGAGAAGGAAATCATTGTGCAATGTTTTTAAAAGTGTTACAATCTGGTAGCACAAATGTCAGAAGGGGATGTCTAGCAGCTATACAGTAAAGAAATAGCTATTGTAATATAGTGCTGGTCATTGAAATGTTTAAATTGGATTTAATTCAAGGGTCTGCAGATTAATCACATTGTATTACTTTGACTATACTGTTTTAATTTTTTCATTAATATCACTACTCTGTCTTTAGTAGTCAATTTTTTAAAGATTTTATTTATTTATTATGTATACAACATTCTGCTTCCATGTATATCTGCACACCAGAAAAGGGCACCATATCTCATAAGGGATGGTTGTGAGCCACCATGTGGTTGCTGGGAATTGAACTCAGGACCTCTGGAAGAACAGCCAGTGCTCTTAACCTCTGAGTCATCTCTCCAGCCCTTAGTAACCAATTTTAAGAAAGTAGTTTTTTCACTTAGCCATTTTTTCACTTCACATTCATGATTATTGTAACAACTAGTGTATAGTAGTAAATTAAAAGGTTTGAAATAATTTCATATTGTAAGTTAAATACTCTTTTTTTTTTAAGTTACCACAGAATAGGTTTATTTCCATTTGATTTTCATTTTCTTTTTAAATCACATCCAAATGGCTCAGCTGTTAAAGGCTAGGGTCACAACCAAAAATATAAGTTAAATATTCTTATAAACTTGATTTTCCAAAGTCTAAAATGTGATTAAATGTTGGAGAGATAAGGGCTAGGGCTGGGTGTGTAGCTCAGTGGCAGAGTGTGAGCTTCACATATATGAGGCAATGGGTTTGAGATTATGTTTGGTTTTGTCTTCAGAATTAATTTGATGTAACATTTAATCTAGATAAAACAGAAGCAAATTCAGTCAGTCACTCAAAGTTTGCTAGTAGTGATCTGAAACAAAAAGAAAATGATTCACAGGTATGTATTTCTGTTTTTAATAGCATAAGTATTTGCATTGAATGAGATAATAAATGTAGATAGGCTACAAGAATGTATATGTATGCTTGTGTATACATACATGTACATATTAAATTAGCCAATACTGTTACCTTATGGTATAAAGCATTTAAGAGTTTCAATATGACATTCAATATAAACTTCCACCATGTGACAAAATTCATATAAAATATTTTTTTTAAATACCAAGCCTGGTAGTTAGTAGACCAGAACTTTTGGGAAATATCTGCTAAATCCTTCACTACAGTACTGATTGTACAGGCTGTAAGCACTGTTTCATAGGGATTTCTGTCACTAACAAAATACAAGAGACAATTAACTTTTTTTCCTGGTTTTTTGACACAGGGTTTCTTTGTGTAACAGCCTTTGCTGTCCTGGAGCTCTCTATATAAGCCAGGCTGGCCTTGAACTCACAATGCTCTGACTGCCTCTGCATCCTGAGTGCTGGGATGAAAGGCATGCACAAACAGGCCCAGAGACAATTAATTTATAAAGAGAAAAAATGTGACTCCTGTAACAATATAGGTTGTTGCTGTTGCTCTTGGTTGACCCCCAGAGATTAAAGGTTCAAGACCCTATTACTGAAAATACCATACATTTCCAGTACAGGACATGGAAGAATTGAGCTGGATCTGACCTGGAAGTCTCCTTGCTGAAAATTAGTTCTCTTAGTATTCAAAGATGCTATTTAAGCTGCAAAGGGAGAAAAGCAAATAATGTTCCTATCTAGCAATAAGACCTATGAACTACAACAATGAGGTGTTCATCACTCTGCTTTATTCCATTGAAACAAGGTCTCTCACTGAATGTGAAGCTTGATATTTCAGGTAGCTGGCTGTCCATTGAGCTCCTTTGACCTGACTGTCCCAGCCTCCCATGCCTGACTTTTATGAGGGTACTGAAAATTCAAACTCAGGTCCTCATATGCATAGCAAGTGCACTTACCAAAAGCCATTTCCCTAGCCCCTGGGCAGAGACAGAGAAAGAGACAGAGACAGAGAGATGGGGGTCTTAAGATATAGTGTAGACTGGCCTCAAATTCAATTTCCTCTTGCCTCTGCCTCATAAGTGCTGGGATTATAGGCCTGCATGACCACACACACACACACACACATACACACACTCCTTATCTTTACTAATTCTAAATAATTGCTGTCTTGTCATAATGAAAAATAGAATTCAAACAAAAACAACCATTTTCACTACAGTGGTAAATTCCTTTAATTGCAACACTTACAAAACAGCGGCGAACAGATCTCTGTGAGTTTTAAGGCCAGTTTGATCTACATAGCAAGGTGGCTATAGGGTAAGACCTGTCTTGGGGAGAAAAAAAAAGCCCTTTCCTGGGAAAACTAACTGCCAAGGGAAAAGAAATTTACATATTTCTAAATTATTTGGGGGATTACAGAAGAAATCAACATATTTATAAGATTTATAAGATTAATCAACAATTTATAAGATTTAGCAAAATAGTATAAAACATGAAACAAATTGGTTCTCAGAGCAAAATGTATATTTAAAAACAAACATTATAAAGGGAAAAATTTAAATATCAAGTATTTCTACTTAAACATTCAAGAGAACAAAATTCACATAATAGAGATTAGTAAACAGAAAAACAAAAACTAGTGATATTAAAATGTTGGATTGATGAATCTGATCGAAAGCTAATGTACTTTAAATATCAGTAAAATGCCAGAAGTTTAAATAGCCCTTCTCCCCCCAAAACAAGGGAGACAAAAGGTAGAATAAGTGTGTTTATTGTGGATAAACAGAAGATTATCCTAAATATGGAAGATAATATTTTTAAACATACTGAGAGAATACTATGTAAGACTTTTTACCACTAGATTTGGGGTCAGATGGATATTTCTCTTGGACAATTTAAGTTATAAACAGGCTTAAAAGTAAATAAAAGAAAAACACAAGTATATAGTCTCCCAGGCAAAATCAATCCAATCTCTAAGAGCTGTTGTTACCCCTCTCCCTTCCTCCTCTCAGCATGTATACCTAGACTCAGGTTCTTGGGTGAAGTCAGGAAGCTTTCAGGATTGCATTAAGACTGCTCAGTCTTGATGCTACTGATATTTACTGACATTTTATTTTTTTAGGCAGGATTTCTCTGTGTAGCTCTGGCTCTCCTGCAGTTCACTCTGTAGGCGTAGCCCAGTCTGCCCTCAAACTCAGAGATCCACCTGCCTCTGCCTCCTAAGTGCTAGGACCACATAGTGGCTTGCACCACTATGCTCAGCTGCTAATGAAATTTTTTGACTGGACAAATTATTTATTGTGGGTAGAGGCCAGTAACACCCTACTTCTAAGTTAATGACAATTATAAATATCTCCATATATTCTTACATGTTTCCTGACAACAAAAGTGTTCCTCCACTGGGTTAAATTTCTTTAAACAATTCTAAATACAGAAAAATTGAGACTATTTGGAGAATTATCACAGAAGACCCATTTGATAGCAAAGACACAGAAAAAATAATTTATGTAATCAGTTTGAAGAATGATCATGACTGTAAAAATCTCAAAGTAAATTTGTTAGTATAACGTTAATAGAATAATAATCATGGCCATCTCTAGGAAATGCAATGACCTTTGAAAATTAGAAAAATCTATTAATATAATTCATTGCATTTACACAGTAGTAAAACATTTTAGTGCCCAGTCTCTCAGAACTGGAGTAACAGACTATATGATCTGCCACATGAGTATGTAAGCCACAAAGTGGGTGCTGTGAATCGAACCCAGGTCAGTCTTAACCATGGAGCCATCTTTCCAGTTCTATGTATGTGTGTGCTACTTACTGTGTGTGTGCACATGTGAAGATCAGAGGATGAGTTTCAGGAGTCAGTTCTGTCTTTGACCATGTCAGTTCCAGGGATCAGATTCAAGTCATCAGGCTTGGCAACCAGTACCTTTATCTACTGAGCTATTTCTGTCCCTTCCAAGAGAGACTTTTTGTTTGTTTGTCTTGAGATTGGGTTTCTCTGTGTAGTTCTGGCTGTCCTGGAAAACTCTGTAGAAGGACTGGTGGAACAAGAGATCCACCTGCCTCTGCCTCCTGAGGCTAAAGGCCTGTGCTGCTATGTCCAACTGAGAGAGATTTTTAAAGAACCATAAGAGGATTCTCCAAGGACTGCCAACAATCAAAAACTTCACTCACTTTGTGCTTAAAAAGTGAAATGTATTTCTTTGAGGCATAATTCACATTCATAAAATTTACTATTTAAAAGTATAAGTTCAACGATTTTTAGCATACAGGTTGCACAACTGTTACCATTGATCTCAGAACATTTGTATCACTTCATATATGTTTTTAAAAAGGATATAGAAATGAGGTAGTCAATAAATAATAATATCTAACATTTGGTTAGTGAATATGAATAAGATAAGATTTTTTATAATTTACCTTAAATGTAGGAATACTACAAATAGTTAACCATACTTGTCAAAAACATCAAATTATGTAAGATCCTAAACCTTTTGGTTTCTTAGTAGATTTGCCTTTGTGTTTCCTATGTAGTTATTCCAGTTAATGTATGTAGTTATAAATGTTGATAATGGTGTTGATGATAAGAATGAGATGCTAATGTGATTAGAGACCCCAGCATAGCTATGATACATGATTGTTATTTTAAATACGAAATCTAATGCCTAATTTCTTTCTTTCAGATATTTAATGACTCTGGTATGGATAGTTGCTCAAAAAGTTCACATGTTACAGCTGTTAAAAATTCACAAGGTTTTATGCAATTCAGGTAATTTTTAAAATAAGAAAATGTGGGCTGGAGAGATAGCTCAGAGGTTAAGAGCACTGACTGCTCTTCCAGAGGTGCTGAGTTCAATTCCCAGCACCCGCATATTGGCTTACAACCATCCATAATGAGATCTGGTACCCTCTTCTGGCCTGGAGGCATACATGCAGACAGAATACTGTACACATAAATAAATAAATAAATAAATAAATAAATAAATAAATGTTTAAAAAAATAAGATGTCCAAAGGGTTGGGGTGTGGTTTAGCACTAGTGTATTTGTCTGCATTCAGTTCCTAGCACTGCCTCCTCCAAAGAAAAGAAACATTATCCTCTCTGAGATGATTTGCAAATATTGCCTCTGAAATAATAAAAATTATTTGTTGCATTTTAGACTGAATCAATCAAATTACAGTCAATGGATTGAAAAAGGACATACAGGTATTTACTATTAATGTATTTCCTAAATAACAAATTTTATCATTTTTTATACTAAATAAAATCTGAATGTTTTCATGTCTGGTTAATGAACATATATGTGGTTTAAGAGTACTTTTTTATCAGAAAATAAAATGAATACATTGCCTTGTAGAAAATTTGGAAAACAGAAAAACATAAAGGAAACAAAATATCACTAACCAGACATAACTGACATAATAATCATGATATGTAGTCTCATAGTCTTTTTTTCTAATACACAGGTACATTTTGTGTATAATTTGAATTACGCAAGATATGTAATTTATATCCCAGTTCCATACTCAATAATACACAGTCTTTACATTAAAAAATAATGAAATGAGGTTATTCTTCATATCAGTAATTTTATTTGTAATGACTGCATAGTGTTCCACTGAATGAATATAGCAGATTTCAGCTATTCTGTTATGTTGAATATCTTCTCATTTCCAGTTTTTTTTGCTACTATAAATAATGCCTCCTATATTATTTTATATTAATTTTTGCTGCTTAGACTATTTTCTTTGACTGAACATCATAGAAAGGTCAGACGATACATGTATGAGTTTATTTCCCCAAGATTAACTTAACTGTTGGAACTATAGCATACAGATGTTTTCCAAATTATCTGTATATGGATGTGTATATATCCATATGTGTGTGTGTGTGTGTGTGTGTGTGTGTGTATAATTACTAAAGCATATACATATGAATATATGTTTGTATATTGTATACCATGTGCATATACATGTATATTTTGGTAACCTATTAATGAGTAGCATTCTCTGTATTACGCTTACATAAAAGTAAATTGGGGGTGGAGAGACCACTCAGTGGTTAAGAGTACATCAGCTCTTCCAGAGGATTCAATTCAGTTCCTGGTACCCACGATGACAACTTACAACTACCTATAATGCCAATTCTAGGGTATCTGTTAACCTCTTCTGGCTTCCTTAGGCTGGTACACATATGGCCTACATTCACTTAAATATATACCTATAAATAAAAATAAATCCCTAAAATATTTCTGGTTCAGCTGAAACAACATATGTATCCTATAAAACTTAATACTCTCTTTACTTTCTCCTAAGAGAAAAAACATTATGCCTTCCTGTTCTTGTGATCTGCTCCAGCTGTGTATAATCCTCTTCATAAGCTAAGCTGATTGTATTAGACACGAAGGAATAGCTAATCTCTTAAGAACAATGCACCTTTGACATAGAGATGTTGGGAAATATATATAATTGGCATCATCCTACCTGTGTTAAGCTGGTGTAATGAGGCTTCATACTCAAGAATAATTATTGTAATTATAAAATAATGTAATAATTTTAGAAAAAACAAAGACTTTCAACAATCCCTAAATCTATAATTTGAGGAAATTAATATGTGCTAAAAAGTATTAGTTGTGATTTAAATGCAAGAGGCAACAGGTACAAAGCTTTCAGGAGATAGATTCTAAAATCTTTAAAGATTTATTTACCTTTGATTTATTTTTAATTTTGTATATGTGGGGCTGGAGAGATGGCTCAGAGGTTAAGAGTGCTGACTGCTCTTCCAGAGGTCCTGAGTTCAATTCCCAGCAACCACATGGTGGCTCACAACCATCCGTTATGAGATCGGGTGCCCTCTTGTGGTGTGCAGAAATACATGGAAGCATAATGTTGTATACATAATAAATAAATAAAATATAAAAAAATTTGTATATGTGTGTGTCAGAGTGTGGGTATATGCACATGAGTTCAGGTGTCCACAGAGGCCAGAAGGAGGTGATGGATTTCTAATACATAAAACTGCCCAAAGAGTAATTCCACAAAGTGTAAAGAACTTTTACAAATCAAGCAGATAAAAGCAGGCGGCTCAATTAGAATATGTCAGAATACAGGCTTGGGGTGGCTTAGTAGGTAAAGCACTTGGTATACAAGTGTGAGCACCTCAGTTCAGATCCCTAGAACTCACATAAAGCACTAGCATGTGTCTGTAATTTCAGTGAGATGGAAGGTGGTGACAGGACAGTCCCTGGAAATTTGTAGGCCAGCTACAAATAAGAAACCCTCTCTCAAACAAGATTAAAGGCAGTGATTGAGAGTCAACACTGCCTTCTGATTTCCACATGTGCACACACACACACTCACATATATGTGAATATTTACTCAGACACATATGCAAAGACAAAAAATTAAAACTTGGAAAATAGAAATGTAAATTGATACTTTGAAAAGAAGCTTTTCTGGCAGGTGAACGTGAAATGGTGCTTAAGCAATAATGGAACTGTAAAGGTACACTGAGATATTATACCCTATGAATATTAATACTCATGAGAGTGTTAAGCAATAGGGACTTTCATAAGCAAATGATATGAACTGTAATTAATAGATTACTGTATATTGAAACCACCTAAGAGCAATAGGGACTTTCATAAGCAAATGATATGAACTGTAATTAATAGATTGAAACCACCTAAATTAGAGCTAATTTTTGAAATTTCATGATTTTTACAATGGCTAGTTACCTCAGCCAAAATTGATATAGCCATTTTGGAAAAGTTTGAGACTTAATATTGGGAGATACATATACTCTGTGTCTCATAATTACACCTTAGATATATACATAGAGAAATAGAAATACAGAATATATGTAAAAGAATGCCATTATATTGTTTCCATTACCCATTTGTTGTAGAATACATCGATATATGGAATTTTTATGCCAGTAATGAGAATACTATGTCTATACATAGTGATGTGGAGGAATTGCACAAGCATATGCCAAAGAGAGAGACATTAGATATATGCATACATTAGCATGACATTTTAAAGCAGAAAAGGAAGGTGAAGGTGGTTAAAACATACTAGGAAATTGTCACTGAAGTTGGGATAGGGATATCTTTGGGGAAGAGGACATAGGAAAACATGACCCTTTTGGAGTGTTCATGAATTTTTTTTTAGCCTGGGTGATGGTTACGTGGATGTCCTCTGATAATTCAGTTAAACTTTTAACTGTTATATTTTATGTTTTATATGTATGTATTGAGAAAACCATATGAACTTGCCACTTTTGTAAATAGATACTTACAAAATGTTTCTTACATCTAAAGTAAACTGTTTAATTTCATAATGAAATTGCATAAATGGAGTCGTTTATTCTTGTATAACAAATAGATGCTGAATGTGGAAATAAAGAGACACTAAAACAACTAAGAGAATCAAAATGTACTCCACAGGTAAGCCATAGGTTAGGTCTTCAGTTTCTAAGCAAAGCATCATAATTTAAACAAAATTCTGTGCCTATTTAAATTTTAGATTTATTATAATTAAAAGTATTTATGTAAGATGTTATGAGCTTAGAAGTCAGGTTTTAGGAAGCTAGAAATTTTATTTTTTAGGTTAAAAAAGTCCACAAAAATTTATATGAGCAATTACCAAAAAGTTGTCACTCATAGGTAATGATACATGTCGAGATCGAAACCAATTCATGATTGAAGAAAATAATTTTGTTTGGCATGATTGAATGATTTGTTATGTCAATTCAAGACCAGTGGTTGCCATGAAAGTATCTTGATAATATAGTATAGTGGACTGCTTTAATGATGACAGATGCAGATTAAGGTATAAGTGGTTAAAATGAGAAATGATGAAGCAGTATTTTACTGTGAAGAAAATACAGGTAATGAACACATTATAGTTTTTATACAGACCCAAATTGTTTCTGTAATAGGATTTGTTATAACCATATATGATAAATATCTCTCTCAATCTCCCTCTTTCTCTCTCTGTGTGTGTGTGTGTGTGTACAAAAATGAGATAAAGGAAAAGTTAGTATTCAGGTTCTCAACCTTTAAAGTGGTATAAAATTATAATGGCAAAACATACCAAAGCAAAGTAGGCAATTGTTCATATTTGCCTTAAAGCACAGTTACCTGGGATAACTTATGAAGAGAGATTTATTATAGTTTGTAGTCTGCGAGTTCATTATTAGTTGATCTCATTGCTTTTGGCCAGTAGTAGTGCAGATATCATGATGGAAGTGAAAAATAGAGTCAAACCCCTCGTCTATGGCCCGGAATTGTTTTTAAAGAAAAGACCTCACAGTCTCCTTCAGAGCATATCACCCACCATGATCTAAAGAACTCCTAGACCCTACTTCCTAGACTCCTCACTACTTCCCAGTAATGCCAGTCTGGGATTAAGCTTTCAACACAGGTCCAGATTATAGCATAAAGCAATAAATAAAATTGCTTAAAAGCAAATTTCCTTTTCAAGGAGTTAGCAGAATATAATGTGGAAATTTTAAAAGAGCAACCACTCCTCAGTATTTTCCTTCGATTTCAGTAATTTTGGTTATCATTTACTTTTTTCGTGTAAAGATACAAGAGATGAGGCTGGGAAGAAAAGAAGACTTTTCTGACAAAATAACTGGTTTTCTATTTTTGAGTATATGTGTCACCATGTCTATGTTTCCTTATCTATGAAGTGATAACAGGTTAAAGTGATGCATCATACCTTATGCATTATACGGATGTTCTTTTACTAAGTAATAATTGTCATTGTGTAAAGTGTTCTGTTGCTTCCCATCTGCAGGCCATGTACATAGAACACTTTGGAAAGTCAGTAGAAAATAATAGGGCTGAAGAAGAAGAAGAAGAAAGGACTGAGAATTTTCCACACATTCCTGAAACTCCTGTATTTCTAAGATCTCTGGAAGCTGTGAAGACACCTCAATCTGTGGAGAAACTGCAGTTCCCTAAAAGCCCCTTCTTTGAAATGTAGGATTTTTATTAATAATTCTACTTGACTTATTTATACATTGAGTTATACAAGTAACTTATAGGAGTAGTAAAATATCTACTTAATTAGAACTTGAAAAGTTTTAATATTTCAGTCATGAAAACAAGGGAGAGACTATGTACCCATGCACCCATTTGTACAGTTATTATTGTTCTGCCATTCTTGTTTCATGGACTCTGCTCCACGTTTTTAGTTTGTTTGGGGTTTGTTGTTAAAGTGAAGATGATATAGATCCTGGGTATCCAGTGTAACAATATGTAGATTTCAAACTTTACAAAATTAAAAAATCAAGCTTAAGAAGTACTGATACATATAGTAGTTGTAAACTACTTATTGAGTAATGTTTCGACAGTTTTCCATATGTCTAGTGTCTGAAGCAAGAATTCCCATTTTTTTGTTCGTTTTTTTGAGACAGGGTTTTTCTGTATGGCTTTGAAGCCTGTCCTGGAACTCCCTCTGTAGACCAGACTGGCTCTGAACTCACAGAGATCCGCCTGCCTCTGCTTCCCAAGTGCTGGGATTAAAGGCGTGCACCACCACCTCCTGGCTATATCCCCATTTCTTAAGACTGAAGTGACTCTAATATAAATACACAACATTGGAAACCACCGATAGAGGGTTTGCAGCCAAGAAGGCATTGCTGCACTTAGTCTTTGGGCTCACTTCAGTCTGTTCCTTAACACTGCATCCTAAGTTCCTATTAGACCTAAATCAGATTTTGCTTCATCAGGTGTCTCTTACCTGTGTTCTACTTATGTATTTTAAATTGCTAATAAGAATTTTATGTATGAATGCCATGCTTTTGACTCAAGCAAAATGTATTCAGAATAGAACTTAGCATCAAATCCTAAAATTGTGAATGTTATTATATGTTAAAACTCTGTGGGTGAGAACATTATGATCTGTAAAGGTATGTGATTCATTTATGATCATAGAAAGCATTGTGACAGTATTGTCAGACATATATTTAATGTATATATATATGATTATAAATGGATATATATATAGAGAGAGATAGATGTATATATACACACATACATAATACAGTTAGGGGGGACTTGGGAGTGAACCAGAGGCTTCACTCATGCTAAGTACACACTGGCCAGAGCTACACTCCAAACTTTAAAAAAAAAAAACAAAACACTTTATAAGCCTGGTGGTGGTACACACCTGTAATCCCAGAACTTGGGAGGCAGAGGCAGGTGGATCTCTGATTTGGAGGCCAGCCTGGTCTATAGAGTGAGTTCCAGGACAGCCAGGGATACATAGTGAGGCCTTGTCTTAGAAAAGCAACCAACCAACAAACAAAACAAAAACAAAAACACTTTATAGAGCTCTTTGTAAAAGCAACTTTTGGGCACTTTATATTATTGTTTCTTTTATTTTAATAACAACTTTCTGAATCATTGGTACACTATTATTTTTATTTTATAGATGAGGAAACAGAACCATAGGTAATACAACCAGTCAGTGTTAAAGTTGAGTTTTTTGTTTTGTTTTGTTTTGTTCTGAGACAGGGTATCTCTGTATAGCTCTGGCTGTCCTGGAACTCACTTTGTAGACCAGGCTGATCTAGAACTCAGAGATCTACCTGCCTCTGCCTCCTGAGTTCTGTGGTTAAAGGCATGTGCCACCACTGCCTGGCATAAAGTTGAGATTTTAAACTCAGACCATTCTGGCTTTATATTGTATATTGTCTTGTTTAATTATTTATTCCAGATCATTTATAGTTTATCTTCTCTTACATAAAACTCTGTAAAACATGCCTTGTGACTAGTTTTCAAGATCTTGAAGACACTGTCAGAGATGAGAGCTTGTAATTTGAATGTGAATTCTCCAATCTAAATTTCAACTTTGGCACTCGCTATTCTTTTAAGCAAATCACTTAACATTTCTAAACTTCAAAATTACTTGCTGTAAAATGAAAGTGATAATAACAATACTTTGTTTTGATGGATTGTTTCAAGAAGTAAATTGCTTTTATATGTATCTAGAATAGTGCTGATAACATTTCTCAGTAAGAATTCAGTTATTATCTCAGGATTGATTTTTATATTCCCTACTCAAACTATCCTTTCTCGATAAATTTGTCACTTTAGAACCCACCTCCAACCTTACTTTATAAATTCTTACTTGTATGTTATTGCTTATAGTGATTCCCAGCCTGCATTGTTTAGTAATACATTTATAACATTTTGGTGATTTTTAAATCTTTCTGTAACAGAACTAGAAATGTACCTGAAGGACAAAAACAAAAGGATCCTCCTGGATTTTCATTTCTTATGAGTTATACTTCTAGATCGCCCGGACTAAATTTATTTGATTCTTCTGTATCTGATTCAGAAATCTCATCAGATCAGGTAAAGTGATTTATTTCTAAAAATTGTACATCAGAGCTTTAAGCAGTTTTAGTTCTTTAGTACCAAACTTTCTTGGGACTGAATATTTACATAGGCAACTTTTTTAAAAAATGCTATGGATATAACTCAGTGGTATAGTGCTTGACTAGTTTCCTTGAGATCTGGGTTCCACCTCCAGCATGGAAAATGGTTCTGAATATTAATAGTATAGAAAAAAATCCCTATTACCTTTTCATTCTTAACTTCAGACAACCCATATTCATATTTTTTATTAAAAGAAAATCTTGAGGCCAGAGAGATGATTGAGCAGTTAAGATCACTTGCTGCCCTTCAGAGGACCTGAGTTCAGTTTCTAGCACCTATGTCAGGCTGTTCATAACCACCTGAAACTCCAGTTCCGGGGAGCTAACAGTCTCTGCCAGCCTCCAAGAGCATCTGTACATACATGGAACCCACACACATATACACAGAAATACATGTCAATAAAAATAAATCTTAAGAGAGAAAACCTCTGACTGGGATATGGCTCATATGGTCGAGTGCTTGCCTATCATTCATGAGGTCCTGAGCTTGATTTCCAGCATCCAAATCAAAGTAAATAAAAAGAAAAACAAAACCTTAAGATAGGGGTAATCTAAATTATAGTTAAAGGCAGAGTAAAATGAATTTGGTTTTACAACTAATTGTATACATTTTCAGGGTGAAAATAAACTACATATTCTCATTTAATCCATAATACTATTGTGTTATATTAGTGTTTTCAGTTATGTATGTTCATGGCAACACTTTCATTAGTAAATTTTAAAAGACCTGAAGAATTTGCACCAGTGTTACTATTAAGTGATGCAATCACTATAAACTGTTCACTTCTAAATTTAGTAATTAAAGCCAATATTAACTCAAGATTTAATAGGAATATATAATAAAATATAGTAGTTAAAATTAGACATGGACTCCTATTCAATATTTGGACATGTGGAGTGTATGAAGTTGATACAAATAATTTAATTTCCTAATCTGTAAAATAGAAATAATGATAGTGGCTGCCATAGAGTTTATGAATATTAAATGAGTTTATACACATAAAGTATTTTTAGAAGTACCACTTACTAATACTATATAGCACAAATATAAATATTTTCTTGTTATTGCTCATTTAAATAACCATATCTAGCTTTTATGTGGCTTAAATTTTTGTTACAATATATTAAATTTAAAAATTACAAATACAAGCTATGGTATTATACATTTTATAGTATTTAATGTGTTTAGCTTTGTTGTTATAAATTTATACATTTATTTCATAAACAAGTAATATCTAAAAGGAATGTCTAGACATGAAAAAACAGATCACAAGAGCTAAATTTTTTTTACAATAGTAGCATGAACTTAAATATATGTAACTTTAGTAGGAAGTATAGACATTTTGAATAAAGAAAACTATAAAACCACTGAAAAATTATTGAACACATAAATACATGAGGTATTTACATTGGAAGAAATATTATGAAAATCTATTTCTTTTAATGCAATTTAAATGTAATCATAACATAATTGAGATCTTGAAAAATTAGCTGTGTGGTGGTAGCGCACACCTTTAATCCTGGCACTTGGGCGGCCAAAGCAGGTGAATCTTTGAGTTTGAGGCCAGCCTTGTCTATAGAGTAAGTTCCAGGACATACACATGTACACAGAGAAATCCTGTCTCTAAAAATAAAAACAAACCAACAGCAACAAAAAGAAATCCTGGAAAACAGTGTATTTTTAATTTTTGTTTCATTTCGTTTTGTTTTAGTGAGTTGGGGAAGGAGACAGCCCAGTTAATACATTTCTTAGGACAAACATCATGATGAATTATCAAGAAAATGCTCAAAAGTAGAACTCATAATAGAATGAAATTCTAAACAAGTATTTAGCCCAAAAGGAGACAATAAAGAAGGAATTGAATAAGAAAGCATAAAGGCTGTGGTGGTGGTACATATCTTTAATCCCAGCACTCAGAAGCAGAGGCAGGAGGATCTCTGAGCTTGAGGACAGTTTGGTCTATAGAATGAGTTCCAGGACAGCCAGGGCTACACAGAGAAACTCTGTCTTGAAAAACTGAAGAAAAGAAAAAAAAAAGAGAGAGAGACATATGTCAATATAAGGTGATGATAGGTTGAAAATTAATAGATGTAAAACTATATTTCATGAAAATTCTAAGTCTAAGAAGGCCATATCACTTGTGTACCTTCATGATAAAGACATTGCTAGAAGTAAATAATTTATTTTAAAAAGTTCAACTTATAAGGAAGATACAACATTCACAAATATGGTTTTATGTCTAGTGACAGATTTACAACATGTAACATAGAGCTATGTTACTGAGCTTAGTGGTGGAGTGTTTGCCTAGCCTTTACAATGCCTTGGGTTCAATTCCACATAATGAAATTAATTAGTTAATTAGATAAATTGAGTAATCAAATTTGCATAGGGGGTAAATAGATACCCAACTATGGAGGTTTTATACTCCCTTTTCTCAGCAGTTGTTAAAATTAGACAACATAATAAACATGTAAGATCTGAATGATATAATCAGTCTCTTTGGTCTCATTGACCTTGATGAACACCATGTCCAAAACTCTTAAGTTCTCAATCTCTGATGGTATAATTATAAGGTAGACTGTGTTTTGGTTCATTAAATGAATCTTTATAAATATAAAAGTATTGGAATCAGAGTGTGTTCTCTGACCACAGTGAAATTAAATTGGAACTTGTAAGATACGTAGAAAAATCCTAAACATTTAGGCTGTGAGGCATGAAAATAATTATGAGAGAAATCAGAAAAGATTTTGAAATTGCTTACTATGAGAATTCAGCATTCAAAATTGTAGAATGATAACACAACCAGAGCAAAGAAGGTAGTTAAATAATTCAGTTATTAAGATAAATAATAGAAAAAGAATGGTCTAAAATTAATGATCTTTGGTTTTCTTTTGAAAAGATATAAAAAGAACAACAAAGCAAAGCAAATACTAAGTGAATGAAGAAATAAGAAACACTAGAAATCAGTGAGCTGAAAAAATCCAGAAAATTAAGAAAGCCAAAGTTATGTCTTTGAAAATGATTAACAAGACTAACCAACTCGTAAGTAGACTGTCAAAAAGAAAAAAGAAAAAAAAAAGACCACTTACCTCTATTAGAAATTAAGAGGATATAAGTCATAAGTATTGTAAAATAAATTGGTGAAACAAACTCATTCTACACATTAAAATAGTGGGTGAAATGGCTCAACAATGAATTTAAAGCCTGATGCTTTCTTTGACCTGGGGCCCACATGGTGGAAAGAGAGACCCTATTCCCACAAGTTGTTCTCTGATCTCCACATACACGACATGGCACATGTGCACCTACACATGCACACATATAATAACTAAATGCATAGGACTATATAAACTTGAGTGCATTCAAATGGTATTATAAAGGTATAAGGATTGATCCAATAATCAGTGGTATAGGCTAGAAAATCTTGAAACCAAGAATTTAGAATTTGATAAAGTTGGAACCATTAGCTTTAAGAATAAATTAGGAACTTATACTACATTACACCAATAAAACTTAACAGATGAATTAAATTGAATTTAGAGATTAACCATGAAGTGTTCAGAAGAAATAGTGGGATGATTCTCTGAGTGTAAATATTTTATATATTGCTATAATCAAGTTTTAAGCTTTATTTATTTATTTATTTATTTATTTATTTATTTATTTATTGCAGTGCTAGGAATCCAACCCTAGGCCTCAGGAATGCTATAGACAAGGCACTCTACCACTGAGTATTGCCCTCCAGACCAATCCTTGTTTCAATATAATTAAATGACAAATTTATCCATCCAGTGCTAGAGATTGAACCAAGAACCTCATGTATGATAAATAAGGGCTCTAACTGAGCTACATCCCGAGCCCAGAGTCTTGTCATATATTATGTAGAAAGTTACTGTCATATCTATTCTAATATTATATGCTAAAAGTACAGACTGTAGTGTCAAATATAAATGCTTTATGCATTGTTCTTTTGATTTCACAAGTAATAGTTAATGGACATTGTTTTCCAGTTTAATGAACATTACTCTGCAGGAAACCTAAATCCGCCTTCATCACAAGAAGAAATTGGTAAGTGATTTGAAATTTTCTACATATAAATACATGTTATTTCTTCTCCATGGTGCTTGGTTTACCTCCAATTGATTTTTTAGACAAATTTTGTATTTATTTAAAACTACTTATTTCTAGACAGCGTTAACTAGGAGATAGTGCTGCAATCTCATCACACAGAAAGCAGTCAGTGACTGTTCTGATCTTCTTTCCCATCCTCCTGCCCTTTCTCCCTCTTCCTTTTTCACTTTTTCTGCACTTAAACATCTTTCACAACTTGCCAACACTTGTCTCCTCCTGTATTACTACTGACTTCTCAGTTACCAAACATCATGTGTGTCTTGCATTTGTTATCATATTTAGTCCATTTTAATAACTTAATATTAACTATTCCAATCTTTTTGGAAAAAAATTATCTTCTATCTTTCTGGTGCATATTTTTTATTGGGTAGCCTTTCTTCTTTTATTCTTTGATTAGTCGTATTTGTATATGTATGTGTATTCCATTTGTTAAAGGGACTGCTTTTTGCTTTGGTTAAAGAACAGTAGACAAGAATTCAAGATGCTTATAGGACTTGTGTTCTGTTGGGAAAGACAGAAGACAGACAAATATCAATGTACACTATATTAATGCACCAAATAATTTGTAGGCTTGAAGTAGTAGTCAGATTCATATTATAATTTTAATATAGCTACTTTGTAGAAGGATGCTAAATAAGAGATAACAGTACATACAGTGTCTTTTGTCTGATTGAAAGCCTGCCAGCTACTCAAGTAATAAGATTTCTTTTTCTGCCTCATCCACATGGAACATGTCATGCTGCTATGGACAAGACACATGCATGCAGGTGATCTTGATACACAAAAGCTACACTATTTGTGTCCCACCAGTCATTTATCCCACTCTAGTCATGAGACTGAAGACCTGTATGCTAAATCATAGCTTCTCTAATTGAGGTGTATTTTTACACAACACTGTTGGCTGGTACAACAGTCTACATTGCCCTGATCCTGTATTTTCTAAGAATATGGTATCGTGAGAAGTAAATCTCTTAAGTCATCCTTTCATGTGGGCCTGACTCAGCCATGTCTTGAGTTAACCCTTATTATTGATCACAAATACTAGGACGGAAAATAAACCAGAATAAGAAGTCTAGGAAATTCTTGATTTACAAAAATGGTTGCTGTGCCACAAGGGCATTCAGAAACACATCATGGAAAGACATTTTAACACAGACATGAAGGAGATGGAGGTAGTAGCTGCTGGAAAAAGTATTCTAGGCAAAGAGTGAAATGTCTTGACAGGGTAACATGCTTGGTATGTTCAGTGAAATGCAGGTAAATTGTACAATTAAAATGGAGAGAAAGGAGAATAGTGCAGAAAAATAAATCAGAAGTATAAGAAGGAACAAGTCATGTGCAACCTTTTGATCATTAAAATCTTTGGATTGTCTTGTAATTGAAATAAGAAGCTGCCAGAGGGTTTTGAGCAACTGACTGAAATGATCTGACAGGTGATGGGGGAAGTGCTTCTATGTATGTTTGTCTTATTGGATCATAAAATACTGTTTAGCTAATGAGGCAGCAAGGGACTAGGAGTCAACGAGGATTCTGGGAAATGTAGTAAAGAAGTGGTGATCCAGGCAGGAAGTGACATAGCAGGGAGACACATATATAAGCAAGGGCAAGAAGGAAGTCATCCCCTTCTCTCTTCCTCCTGGTCTCTGCTCTAGAGTTGCCATGTGATCCACCGGCAAGCGAGGGCGCCAGCAGAAGGCATCCTAGATAAGATAATTCTTACAAAATATATAGATTTATGATAATTAAGACTGAGCTAGCAGATGAGCAATCCTAGTCATTGGCCAAGCAGCATTTGTACCTAATATAAGTCTCTGTGTGTTATTTGGAACCTTAACATGGCAGTGGGTATAACTCGGGTGGCCTGGCAGAAATCGCCCACATGGTGGCAGGGCTCAAGTGGATGGAGTAAAGATTTATTGTTACAGAATGGTGTCAGAAGTGAGATACGAACCCACACCTCCATACAGTTACCAGAATAAAACAAACATACACCGAAGCACTTCCCCCATCAGACAGGCTTTTTTGTTTGTTTGTTTGATGGATTAGTGCGAATTGATATATGGAGAAAACACTGTATAAATGCATGCAGGGAGATAATTAGCATGCATTAAATAATTAATAAATAATCATTAGTATGATTAAAATAATTCAAATGAAAACTGGTGGTTGCTCCAACTTTTTTCCCAAACTCTGGGCCCTTATTTCTGACTGGCTAGTGATAAGCTCTTTTTAAGTAAGGTATCTTTTGACATTAAAAACAGTATATCTGAAATAAAAGCTATTCTTCTGATATCCCTAATGGTATCTCCATTTTTCTGCTTGTCAAGATTCAGAGCATCATTGATAATTTTAGCTTTTCTCTGTTGTTATGACTAAACTCAACTAGTCATCAAGTTTTATCAGTTCTTTTTTTTGAAAAAATACTACTGTTTCTATTTTTTTTCTGAGAGCATTGTGTTTCTGATTTATAGCCATTTACATGGGATATTACAGTGAAATCTTAATTGATCTTTTCTTCTTCTCAGCTTACCTATAGATCACAGCTTCATGTTCTCTATGCATAATGTTGACTATACCATCTGCCATAGTCAGATACATAAGTGGAAGTGGCTCTCATTGACTGTCATTTATGTGTCATCTTCCTACTTTTCTAAATTTTAACTCCAGTGTAACATTGAAGCTCTTTAAAAAGAGCTTTAAATTTTAAATTTTTAATTTACTTTGGTTAGACTGAAGAGCATATCTCAAATATACCCAGACATTTTTACCTGCTTGTTTCTTACAACTTTCAACTTCCATCTTTATGTTTAAAGACTGATTTCTTTTTCATAAAACCTCTATTTCCACCTTCTACCTTTCATACCCCCCAAAAAAATCTCTCCTTCGGTTTTCTGAACCTCTTATTTTTAAAACAATGTTTATATTCTACATAATATCATTAAGTATCTATGAATGGATATAAAACATCCTTTGGAACTTTGAAGGCAAGGGTTTTTTATATTTACCTTTGAATTTCTCAGAGCACCTAAAATACTGCCTTATACAGTGATAGACTTTTATTTATAGAATGCTTAGAAATTTTATGAAGACTTCATAGGAACTTCTTAAATTAAAAAGAAAATAAAACTCATTTGTGAAAGAGAAATTCCAGGCTTTATTTCTTTCTGAGTTTGTATATTCTTGTCTAAGTCTTAATGTTATGAAATGAAAAGTATAGTTAGTAAAGAATAAAATAGAAAAGGGGAGTGGGGAGCACAAATATCTGCTAATCAGTTCACCCTGCTAGCCAGCACATTTGACATTGGTTGCTTTATGCCACTTGTTTCAAATAAGCCTCTGTATTGCTGAGATTTTGAATTGTTGAATAATATTTGATTTTAAAAATACTGAAAAATATTTTTGCTTTCACTTTTAAATAATGAATAATGAATGGAAATTGAAATAAAGCAAATCTATACATGAAGTTTGATTTATAAATTTTCTTTCAAAGCTGTGGAAAACTTTTCACAGATTTGTCAAAGGTTTTGAACACTGCTATAAAAATATTGTATAATTACTTAATAAATAATAGCTTGATAATATATTTTCCCCTTTAGTTATCCCTACTTCTAGATGCTCCTTTATAACCATTCTGTACATGTTTTCCAAAGTAACTTTATAAAGCAGTTTAAGTTATGTTCTATCTGTACTCGAAAATACTTAATGGTTTCTTGTTATGTATTTATTCCTACATTCTACAGTGAGGCATTCAGTAGTCTCTGCAAACTCATCTTCATTAATTCTTATTTAATACTTTGTTAACTTTTTGGACATCCTGCTAAGTTGAATAGATTTACGTTACCCTACTATTTCCTATGCACACCTGTTTCTGAGCCTATGTTCTATTCTCTTTTTGAGATGTCTTCCCCTACTTCCTGTTATGTATAGTTATTTACACACTTGAATTAAATTATTTGTAAGTAGGGCTTAAGTGAGAGTGTACCTTTCCATAGTACCAAAGACAATGTCTTGTGTGTATGAAGAATACATTTAAGTATCTGCTAAATAGAGAAGTGATTCAATGTTCATCTGTTTATTGTATGCAGTACTCTGTAATCTAGTAGATTAACTTTTATGTAACATGAATACAATATTTTAATATTTATATTCTTCAGGAAACTTATTTGGGAAATCAGAAGGAGAAGATACCTTCACATTTTCCTTTCCCTCAGACTCTTCAACTCAAACATTTGGAGCTGGAAAAGATGACTTTAGTTTTCCATTTTCTTTTGAACAGGATCAAAATACAGTAACTTCCTCTTCCTCAAAAGATTTTTCATCCTCACAAGATAAAACACAATTTATGTTTTTTTGAATTATTATTTTTGAACTACTTAATGTTCTTTAATAATAGAGAAAAATCTATATTATCATTAAAATCTGTATTATCCATTAATCTAGAAATTGGTTACTACAGTTGAATTATTTGATTGAAGTTATGTAAGTATTGAATATTTTATTTTTGTTTGTGACATTAACTAATCATTATTTATTTTGATTTTTGATTTTGTAAGCCTATCAGACAGTCCTTCTATCTTAGAGACTTAGGTACTTTTTCCATTAATTTTTTTATAATATTAAGTCCATTTATCCCTGGGATTTATGTTTTAGTTTGGTAGTATTTTAGTTATTTCGATAATAACAAGAATGCCTCCAAATGATCAGAAGACCTTTTAATGATAACTGTGCAAAATTAATATTTAGTAATTAAAAGTCTTGGAATCACTGGGTTTTATAAATGCTTCATTGTTACAAGATGCAGAATGGAATTCTGATAGTAATCTTAAAAAATTAATGTCAATGACAGTAAAAATTTATGTTATTTTCTTCTAAATGCAACAACAGTAAAATTCTAATTTTGTTAATTATGTTACTATGTCTTTAAGAAAGTGAAAAGTCAGCCAAGTGTTGCTGGCACATGCCTTTAAACCCAGAACTCGAGAGACAGAGGCAAGTAGATCTCTGTGAGTTCGTGGCCAACTTGGTCTACAGAGTGAGTTCCAGGACAACCTCCAAAACAATACAGAGAAACCTGTCTTGAAAAAAACCAAAAAAAAAAAAAAAAAGGGAAAAGTGAAAGAAAGACTAATATCTGAAAATTGTATTGTTATAGCTCTGGTTGTCCTGGCTTCGGTTAAACCTTTTTTGAAGAATAAAAAAATTCTGTTTTCCATCTTCAACAAGGAACATTTCATATTAACATGTTTAGTTTTTATATTTATATTTGTTTCATATTTGTACTTCATGTTTTACTTTATATTCCATATTTGTCAATTAGATATAGCTTAATTAAGCTATATAAAGTTTGATGAAATTATATGCGTTGCTTAATATCTTTATGTGCTTTTTTAATTGAGTTATCCAGTAATAAAGAGTATTATTCTGTATTTTGATTTGTAATTGCTGACATATTTTTAAGCCTTCACTTTTTTCCATATATCTGATCAAACTTCAGAGAATACCCGCTTGGTTTCTTCTTGCTGCCAACAAGAAGTCTTTGTGGGAATCCTCACCACTAGTCATTATTTAAAACTCAAATGCTTTCTAAAGCCATTTGCAAGATGTTTCAAGCTTGGACACCACTGCCCCCCAAAAAGTCCCTGTTATATGAGCAAAAAATTGTTTCTTAAGCCAGGCATTGGTGGCACACGCCTTTAATCCCAGCACTCGGGAGGCAGAGGCAGGTGGATCTCTGTGAGTTCGAGACCAGCCTGGTCTACAAGAGCTAGTTCCAGGACGGCCTCCAAAGCCACAGAGAAACCCTGTCTGGAAAAAAATCTATATTTTGGTGCATGTGTGTGGAATTATTCTCAACATACATGACAAAATTTGAGTAAAAGTCTGTCTGGTCCATGGCATGTCACAGTTTAGACTTCAGGAGGTTGGTCTAACTAATGATAGAATTTAAGACCACTTTAGACTATGTATTTCAAAATATTTATTTTGTATGAATGTTTGCTGGCATATATGTCACTATGTGTACTATGTATGGTGCCTGCAAAAGTTAGAAGAGGGTGTCAGATTTCCCTGGGACTGGAGTTACAGATGGTTGTGAGCCATCATGTGGGTGCTGGAAATTGAACCCAGGTCCTCTGAAAGAGCAACCAGTGACCTCAACCACCGTGCTGTCTATGCAGACCTAAACTATATACTTAATTTAAAATGTAGGGTTGTATAGTTATATAACATTCTTTGACTAAGTACAAAACTAACCAGTCATGAATGGAAATCCATTTTTTCTAAAAATATTTTTTAGAAATTAGAGTTTTTCACCAGGAGTGGTGGTGCATGCCATTAATCCCAGCACTCAGGAGGCAGAGGCAGGCAGATCTCAGTGAGTTCAAGGCCAGGCAGGTCTACAAAGCAAGTTCCAGAACAGTCAGGACTGTTACACAAAGAAACCCTGTCTTGGGGAAAAAAAATAAAAGTTTTTCAAGACAGGGTAATTGGTGTGAATGTGACTATGATCAAAGCACACTATATCCACAGATGAAAATGTCATACTCATTTGTGTAATTCATATATACTTTAAAAATCCAGAGTTTTTGTTTTGGTATCAGATACTTTTTTATGATACGACATAGATTTGGTATGATAAAGATACTGACTGTATGAGAAAGAAAAAAAGAGTTGGAATTAGATTGTTTTAAGAGACTCAAAATTTGTCTTAGCCTTGAGTGGAAATCTCATAGTTTATTTTTATTTTAATAATATGTAGTACAGTGGTATGGTTAAATTTATTTTAAGTCAATAAATGAAGCAAAATAAAATGGTGTTTTAAAAATATCTAAGTGCATACGTCATCTTGAGAACATATAGTTTAGTTTTACATTCAAGAACATGTAAGGTGATTGAAAAGACAAAACACCGGAACTAACAAAAGAATACTACAATAAAATAGTTATCTTTTGTTTTCATAGACTGTGCTGATACAGAAAAGACACTAGTTTCTTAAAAAAAATAGAATTAAGGTATGGACTGGAAAACCTAAGGAATGATTCATTGAAGAAATGGGTTTTTAATTAGGACTAAGGTATGTAAATTATAAAATGTTCAAGAGTAAGTTGATGCTGCTAAGGATGCATTTTTAGTTAATTGAACACAGGATTCTTGTTAGATCACGACTGATGGAGGCAACTTGGAAATAATAGAAAGCCGACAGGCTTCTCCAGAAGCAGAATTGTCCTTTTATCAGAACAGCTGAAGGACCACATCTCTCTGCAAGAGTAGACTGTGTGCATTTACTACCAAGGAGTTTGGGGGTTTACAGAAGGGAAAGGGGGATGGAAGATTCCATCAGCAGGTCAGTTTCCCTCCAGTCTTGAAGTGGGGTTTGGTTGTGGATCTCCTTGTCAGAAGCTTGCACAGTGTTATCAGTCAAGTTAACGTTTCTGTCCGGAGTTTCTCAGTCCATCTGAGACCTTTCTATCATTAACTCTTCTGGAATTGGGTCCAGAGTCTTGCCTACTGCTAAACTGTACCTACAGCTCTGAGTTAATGACATTTATTTGTTTATTTTTATATTTGTTTACCTATCTGTTGTATTGAGTGGGTCGTGTGTGTGATACATAAATGTGAGTGTTCAGGTGTGTATGGCCATGCATGTGCAGAAGACTTCCTCATCTCTGACTGAACCTGGAGCTGTTGTTTTGGCTAGGCTGGCTGGCTGGCTACTGAGCTCCCAGGATCCTCTTTGTCTTCTCCCTGAAATGCTAGAGTTACAAGCACATGCAGCCACACCCAGCTTTTTACATGGTGCTGGGAGTTTGAGCTTACATCCATCCCCCTGCTTGCATAGCAAATGCTCTTAGCCACTGAGCCATTCCCCAGGTCCCAATTGATGGCATTTGGGCATTGAATTTGTTGTTGGCCAACTCTCATGGCTGATATTTAACAGGCTTTTAATAAGTGCTAGATTAATAGAATTGAACTAAATTGGAAAAGGAGAGAATGAAAGCAATCTATGTAAGGAGAAAACAATCAATAAAGGAAAAAATACTACTGTGTATGAAGGAAAAGAAATAGTCTTACTGGACTAAAGAAAAACAGGAAATTAAGTTTAATAGAAATGGTAAAACTCATATTATGTAGGTCATGATGGATTTGAAATTGAGGACAATAAAGAACCTGTATTTTAAATACTAGAAAGCAAGTGTCCAGAGCTGAAGACAATAGTCCATCAGTGTTTGCCATGCAAGCGTGACTGAGTTTAATCCTCAGAGTACACATGAAACTCCTAGTGCTTATAAGCCCAGCACCAGGGAGACAGAGATGGGAATCCCTGAAGCTCATTGGCCAGCCAGTCTAGCATAATGTGTAAGTTCTGGAGAAGGAATAGATCCCACCTCAAAACAAACAATAAAAACAAAAAAAGTGAATGGTGTCTGAAGAACAATATCTAGGCTTGACCTCTTACTCACATTTGGATACACACACTCACAAAAAGGAATAACCAAGGAAGTTAAACTGGCCATGTAGTCAGTGTTGAGAGAACCTAGGGATAAACCACTTAGAATGCAGTTGCAATTGTCCAGGTGCATGGGCATAATAACTAATTGTCCTGTGATTTAATTCCATTGGCGCCAAAATTAGAAAACTCTCTTACTGTAAAAAAATACATTTGACTAAATGCCATCCTGGTATAAGGTAAAAAGGAGAAAAGAACTTCCTTTTGCAGGTTGTGTTCCATTTACGTATCAGGCCATTCATACATAGCAGGAGCATGTGCAGTGTTTCTAATGGAAAATGACGGTGTGTGCAGGTGTGCATGCTCATATATGCAGATACCGTGGAAGCCAGAGCTTAGCATTAGGTGTCTTCCCCAATCACTGTCCACATAAGATAGATTTCAGAAAGGAAAGTATTCCTTTCTGAAAATTCCTTGAGATAAAGCTGCTGTTGTCTTCAAATTACAAACTTGCTTCCATTTCTTTTTTGAGATTGAGTCTTACTTAGCCCAGGTTGGCCTTGAATTTGGTATTTAGCCAAGGATGATCTTGAACTCCTGATCTTCCTATTTCCAACTCCCAAATACTGAGAACATAGGGTCACCTCTTCCAATGACTGTCCCCATTTTTAGTCAGTAAAATTTCAGAGACATGGGTACAAATTCCAGAGTCCATTAATACATTTAGAAGAAAATAATCACTGTATATCTAATTTTTTCTTTTCTGCTTCTGCATCTTTTTTTTTTTTAAAACCGGGGTTTTTCTGTCTAGCCCTGGCTGGAAATCGCTCTGTAGACCAGGCTGGCCTCAAACTCAGAGATCTGCCTGTCTCTGCCTCCCACGTGCTGGAATTAAAGGCGTGCACTAC